CTAGGAGCAGGAAACTGTCCCAGCCAACTAAATCCGATCCGTTATTGTCATGATCTTCAAAAGAGTCTCACGTCCGGAATGTGGCAGCCACAGAGAAATCAGTGTGAGCCCTTATCGCCTCCAAGTTACTTGCCTCTGTCATGCCTCACAGATTGGCTGGCACCCTTGAAAGCCAGCTTCGTAAAGAACAATCCGGGTTTCTTCGAGGTCGGAATTGCATCGATCGCATTTTCAGTTTACCTCAATTGTTTTACCACCGTCACATATATTGACGGCCCACTGTTATTGTGTTCCTCGACATCAAAGGTGACTACAGTTCAGCGAATCGACATGTTCTTTGGGACATTCTGCTCAGGAAAGGTGTGTCCGAGAAAGACGTAAATATTATCCGAACGCTTTACGCGCGTAGCTCTGGCAGAATGAGGGCTTATGGCAAGTTCTCGCCGCTATTCAAGATCTCCAGCGGTGTATGACTGGGATGCCCGCTGTTATCTTTCCTCTTCAAATTCACTCTTGACGAAGTCATAGAAGTCACGTATACGGGGCACTATGTGGAGCTGCTCCCAGGTGAATTCTTGACTTGGCATATGCTGACGACATTACTGTCATCTACGACAGCTCACAAACGTGCCGAGCAGAAGTAAACAGATTAGCACTGGCTGTCAGCGATTTCGGGCTCTGCACCGTCAAAGTTCAAAGCTTTCCTCCAGGATTGGCAGAGACCGCTTCATGCACTGACTTTTAGTGAGGATCTGCTAGAAGTCGTTCGGAAATTCAAATACCCAGACAGTTATAACAGCGCCTGTGGAATCAAAAGTGAGGTCATGATCCGTATAACAGGTCGAGGCGATTTTGCAAATCTCCGCCCCTTTGGGGCCGGCGCGACTTCACTCTCTCTCCCTCTCTCTCTCTCTCTCTTTGAAGGACAGAGTGTCCAATGCAGCCGTGCGTCCTACTCTACTGTACGGTTGTGAAACCTGGCCCATTAGATTGACAGACGTAAGGAGGCTAGCTACGTTCAACCATCGGTGCCTCCGCAGTTTGGCTGATTCCTGGTGGGAGAATCGCGTGAGCAATTAGCGTGTTCGGCGTCGTGTATCAGGAATCAGTTTCATTTCAACTTCCTACATCCAAAACAGAATCACTTGCTGGGCATCAGTGTGGTCAAGGAAACTCTATAAGGCAATTTTTCTCAACGGGGTGTCACCATTCCTGAAACAAAACACGTCTAAAACTCCTAAAACGGCAATTAAACGACGTTATGGAGAATGTCTGACTGCTCGGGAATATGTGGGGCGAGTGGAGCAACAAGAAGCGGAAATCACAAGATCACTGAAAAGATGGCGTAAAACTAAAAATGGTTATAAGTCTTGTAGTGTTTTGGGCAAAAAGAAACCATCCAGTTCACATGATCAGAAAGATACTATAAATCAACGGCTTGATCGTGTCTTCGCAAAGGCTGCAAAAATCACACGAGCACAAAGACATCTGCTAACTGAATTGCATGTGCTCAATAAGACTACTAATGTTTTAGACAAAGAAATCCTCTTTGTATGCTCAGGTCAGCAATGATTTCACGGCAAAGCACAAGTGATTCAGTATCTTGCAATGTTATTCTTTTTTCCATATTGTACAGTGATGATGAGTGTTTGCCCCCAAACAAGGTATCCAGTAGAAATATGTTTGAGAACTTTAGTTTCAGAGAGACATAACACCAAATATCTGCCAATTCTTTGATTACGATGTTTGAAAGAATCCCAGAAGATGTGGAGTTGTCCCATTTCCCTGTTTCTGCGTAGCGGTGGGCGTCCTCGAGGGTTACTCAGCCCACGCGCCACCGATGCTTGTCGCGTGGCAGCAAAGCGTCGGTACAGTGTGCCGGCGTACTGCTGATGACGACTTTTCGTGTTTTATCAATATATCAGTAAAATGCTCTCTTGGTTACAATTGTGTTTTCAGCAAATTTCTCAGTAATATTAAGTTTCATGTGTTGCTACAGATACTAAGTGCGGTTGTAAATATAGTTAATTACTTCTTTTTCAGAATTTTTAAAATATAGAGTGTGGTATTACCCTCACTATATATATATATATATATATATATATATATATATATATATATATATACATATCTATATATATATATATATATATATATGGATGCATACAAAGCCATTGAAGTTTAGGAAAGGTGTAGTTCTCGAAAAAGTGAACTGAATACGTCACAGCACGGTCCATGATTTCTCCAGTAGGCTTGCACTGCCCTGTTTCCCTAGCAGAAGTGGGGCGTTGTCTTAGGAGACATCATCCGGAACCTTTGGCTGAATAGTGTGCTTCCAAGGCGGGTGAGCAACTTCAGAGAATCGCACCCATTGCGAGACGACGACCGCTTTTTCCGTTCATACTCCTTTAGTTTGACGAATTGCTATACGGGGGCCCCTTATACCTCGTACCCATCTTCTGGACCACAGTGCTGCAAGGGACAGTGACTAGTTGCTGACGAGTCTCATCCGCCACTTCGCAATATTGTTAACTACACGTTTGTGGCTTTTTACAGGAGAACGCTAGTCATGCAAAAACCCACCATGTCCCTAAGACACTGTCGCCAAACGATTCGATGGAACGCAGTAAACTCGAATGTCGAGAAATTAATGCAGAAAGCCAGCGTGGGATCGGACTGCAGAAATTGAATAAAGCCACAAGACCGGATGTGCTTTCTCCAGCCCTCTTCAAATTCATGGGATCTAATCTCATAGAAATGCACTATTCATTAGACTTTGGGAAGATGAAACTCTCCCATACACCTGGAACTGCTGTGTTGTAATCCCTGTCTTCAAACGGGACTCACTTTCGGGATGCTGCAGTCATAGAGGTATCCATTTGGTCTCAATCACCCCTCAGTTACCTGCCTCTATCGCACTGCATAGGCTTACTGTGGCGCCCATGGCGGCCAGATTCGTGAAGAGCAAGCGGGATTGCATCGAAATTGAGGCTGTATTGACTACACCTTCACTTGACCTCAGTGGTTCGAGCACGGCCACTTACATTGATGAGCCACCCTGATCTTGTTCCTTGGTTTCAAGAACGCCTTTTGTTCGGTCTTCGGTGCTCGATTTGTAGCTTGGTACTCTTTGAGTCAGAAAATTGTACCAACAAATTATGTAAACATCATCAGAGCGCTTAATGCGCATAATTCGGGCAGAGCAAGTGTTTATGGCAATCTGTCATCGCCTTAAAATGTCTCCAGCGGTGTGAGGCAAATGCACCTGCCACCTCCCCTTTGGACTTTGCATTTGACGAAGTTATGGGAGCTGCATTCAACGAACTCAACTTGGAGGGTGTGGCGGTGCTTCCAACTGATTAACTTTCAGATCTTGCTTATGCCGATGATGTTGCCCTAGGTGTGCCAAACAACAATATATAGATTAGCCCTGGTTGTCTGCCGTCTCGGGCGGCATTTTGCTTCCCAAAACTGTAAAGCATCAATGATTGTCAGAGACCAACCATGCGCTGACCTTTGGTTGGGATCAACACGAAATCTTTCGGGAACTCAACTACCCACGCAGTTGTCTCATTGCCGTTAGCGTGAAATATGGGGTCTAGAACCGTGCAACAAAGGCTGTTGATGCCTCTGCTCAACCTAGCCATTTACAGCACCGTCGCAACATCCTCACGCTGACGAGTTCAGACTGAAATGCTGCAGACTGTACGGTTGCTAGACCTCTATCGGATTGGCAGACATAAAGTGGCTTATTGTGTTTGACTACCAGTGTGTTCACAGTTTAGCTCATATCTGGTGAGAACGCCGCGTAGGCATTGAGCGTGTTCATCGCCCTGTTTAAGTCTTACGAAGGACAATTAAATCGTTCAGCATTGTTATTTCCTGCACCAGGCTCCGATAACTCCACCTCATGCTGGCTTGTAGTGAGAAGCTCAGTAGGCTACGAAAAGAGTCAGTCCATAGTTCGGTAAATTCAAAGTTTTCTAACTGTCCAAAACTAGCCGTATGTCTCGATAAGATACGCAATCCGAGTCAGCGACGATTTTCCTCACCGGACACCGAGCAACAACGCCGAACCATCACGATGAACGAATGCGCAACAAGCCGAAGCGACAACGCAGAACGAAATTCGAAGGAGTGTGTATCGGTTCAGGTAATGAAAACAACAACAACCATAAGTAGTGGAAGATGAAACAAGGAAGTGCGATTGAAAAATGCGGTAGTTTACAAGCGCTACAGGCCCACCGACTCCGACATGCGTTTACGCGGCGTGATTCTGGATGGAAATAGAGGACAAGAGAGCAGTTGCTTACTAGGTTGGGGGAAATGAATGCTCTCACTCCGAAGTTCGTCTCGGTTGTTGCCTCCTGACTTATGGACTGCGGTCTAAAAGAAGGTTACACGCTTGGTTTCACGTTTGTTGCAATGTCTAGGAGCCGATTATAGCGACCTTTGTGTTGTGCATTCCTTCGTTCCCTTCCCAGCCAGGATTTCAGCCTCAATAATAATACAACACTCTAATCATAGTATTATTTGTTTTGCCTTGTGTCTTATTACCATCTAATCGTATTGCATTATCACAAAAGCTGAACTGTGTGTGGACTGATAAATTGTGATGATTAAGTTCATTTTGATCACAACTCGTTGATGAATTTTACTAACAAACCTTTGTACTACTTGTTCATAATGTATTTGATTAATAGAACAATTTTAGTACTAGCCTTATGTGATGACAGCTATATCCCTGGAATCACGCAGTTACTATTTGCCATTCACAGTGATTTTGTCCATTTTTATATTTACACTTAATCTGTGATGACATTATCATCCCCGTATGCCTATCCCAAAAATCAACAGCTGTATTGGTTTCTTGTTTTAGTCGATAAATGGATGTTTTTCTGCTTTTGGTTGTCTTGACAAATTGCTCACTGCCGCTGCTCAAGTGGTAACTGGACGAATCTTTGCAGGCTGATTCATGCTTTTCTGTGTTTTCATTGTAGGTCCTTACAGAAAGATATAAGCCAAGAAAACGAACCACAAAATCAGCAGCTCACCTCGTAGGACTAGATCTACCACAGGGACCAGCTCCTCCTAACTCCGCATGAAGCTGAGCTGAACTTTTACGCCTTGTATTCATTGAAGTCTTGCCTTCTCTTCTCGTTGGCAGCGAAACTAGCCGTTCTGATTTCCGGTTTCCCCATAAGCAGTGCTGCTACAATTCCACTCGTTTACTTTGCTGACGGTTTCAGTTCCCTTATCCAATTGGAACTTCCTATTAACGAGCCACACTCTTTAATGCCACACATTTCTTGCCATCAGTAAGAAATCTTTGTTTCAGGTTCAGAGCATAAACATATTCATTTGCTTATTCTCTTGTATATGAGACTATGCAGCACTACCTAATTACGGTTGCACAGAATCGTCATACCTTGAAATCTTTAAATTATGTTGGTCTGTAACTAGATGTTCAAGTGGTATTGGGATTTTACTCTGTTTAGAAAGCCCATTTTGCTTGTTCTACACCTACACTCACATTCACTACTCTCGCCGTTGATGCATCCAATAGCTGCACTTCATCTGCGCACTGCGCCATTTTCACCTGTTCCTGCTATTTATGGAAATATCGCTTTACGCTGCATCGACTGCTACACACCACTTCGTTTTGAAACTGCTGTTAGGCCCCTACTGAGTCAAGCTCCCATATCCTCCGTACACTCCACCGGTGCAAGCCATAGACCTACGTGCGTCATGACCTAAAATTAGAGCAGCTTAGTTTATGCTTCGGTTCTACATTGCTTCCCTATGAGCGCAGAAACAAGCACTCGATGAGGCCACACCCACGCTAACGTCGAATTCTCAACTCACTAATGTGCATTGCATCCCAGTTGAAAGGCACCCTACACAAGACGTCTATCTGTAGCGGCTACTTGCAATCATTTTATGAGTTTTGATTCAACTACAGGCACTTTCGGTCATCAGCTAACTTCTCTACTCCGCACAACGCTTATCTAGGTTCACAGTCGCTTATAGTGTGTACGCGCGAGTTGTATGGCATGACTCCTATACTAGCTGTCAGAATTGACATGTGACGTGGAATAAAGAATAAAACAGGTAAACCACACTTATACGTTACGGAGGTTTGCGGGAATCGAGGCGGATGAGCAAACTCACGTAGCAGCGCAACGTGCAGCTCACCAGACAGAAGCAATTCATAGGAGTTTACAGTCAGTAAATCAAATAGTAAGCTGGAAGTTACGAACTATAATAAAGTCCAGCGTTACTAAATACTGGGGTCAACTCCCAGCAAACTGAATGGAAAGCTTCCAGTAGGCGTTTCAGGTGGGGTGAGCGTGGATGAGCAAGGGTGACACGGAAGGGGATGAACACGGGTGTCTAAACTAAGGTGTTTCGTAGAGTTCACTGGGTTTCGGCTTGTTGGTTAATATTTGGATTTGAGCTAGACCATATCGTCGTTGAACTGTCGGCGCGGGCTCGTTGTACTGCAACAAAGCTGGGTTTTATAAATGTCCAACAGGGAGTTTCCCCCGCCCACTGTACGACGGTGTGCTTGGGTGTTGCTCCCAAGCCCACTGCCAATCCAATTCTCGTCACATGTAGAACTTCATTCCCCAGGTCGACATCTCTTAACCAAGCGTTTTGGTGCTAGTTCAGTTGCTGCCGCCAACGATCTGAGAGTGAACCGCTGTTTTCTTAGGGTCCAACGTGATTGGACTGAATCCTGTTGGCGAGTAACGCTTTCCGGGAGTTTGGTTTTCTGGAATGTTGAACCCAGCGATTTGGGATGTGGCGCCGAGTGAGAAACATGGCATACATATAGCAAAATAAACTACATTTTTGAGACCTCAGAAGACTTAGTCGTTTTTACAGAACGTATGCTGGTGGAACACACGAGGGCGGAAAATAATACACGTTCACAGAACATGAAAACCGAGTCGGACGTTTGACATGCTGAGCCGGTACGTTGCGTGCGGTCAAGGCTGGGTATGTATGGGACCAATAAAAACAGAGTTTTTTTTAGTGTCTCTATACAACTTCATGAGAGGGGCTGGAGGCCAATCTTCGAAGAAGGCACGTTTGAAGTAGCCTCTGAAAATCGTTGTCTTACGACTGTTATGGTCTAAAATGAAGTGCCCCAGAGTTCACTGCGGAACTCTGGACTGGGTACGGAAGTTAAAGAGGGGTCTGCGTTTTGTCAGTATGAGTGTAGATGTGAGTGCATGTGGACAGCCCTCTGTACATCTCTGGTCTGCTCACGAAGAGGAGTCAGGCTCAGTGAACACATGCTGTGAGAGAGAAAGGATACGAAGTTAGTGGGGGATACACGGGGATGAAAGAAGTGAGCTGAACCCTCCCGACAGCTTAACTGTTGTTCAGTAAACCAATTTTGCTAGTGTACACTGCGAGTTAGGTTTGATGCTTCCCAGAATACCTAGAAGAACAATCGAGTCGTTTTCCTTCTACTCAAAGTCGGAGGAGCTTTATATTGTCTACGTAAGCGTTTGACTAAGCTGTTGGCTGCAAGATGATAACGCCGTCGTATGGATATTGCGGCATCCTAAAACGGTGAATAAGGTATTGAATCTTGCAGATTCGGAAAGCGTTTCTCGATCAATGGCGATTGTGGATGGGCATCCTCAGAGTGACACTCGGCTGTCCAAGAAAGTACGGATGAATAAACGGGTAGCAAATCGGGACCAAATAAATGGTGCGTTAGGAATTATTTTCGAGTAAACTCATCGGACCCAAATGTTTACATGGCAGAGATTATATGGTCTTCCTAAGGTTCGCAAAGAAGGCGCCCCACTGCGTCCTGTTTTGAACGTCATGGGCTAACCCCAGCGTTTGTTGACCCAATGGACGGGGGAGAAGTTGCATCCGTTGCGGAATATGCTTTGTACTTACTGCGTGAGAGCCTTTTGAATTCGTTGAGAAAGTAACAAACTTACTTGTTGACAAAAGGATGATATCATTTGACGCCCAGTGGCTGCTCACTAACATTCCGCTGCTCGGAACTGGGGAGTACGTGTGCAAACTGGCTCGGCAACTGCCAATTTACGCAACTTTTCCGGAAGCTTCACCCAAAGAGGTATTACTTCGGAGCACACTAAACGTGCAGTTCACCTTCAGTGGTGAAATGTACCGTCAGATTGATGAAGGGGCCATGGGATCTCCTTTGGGGTCCATGCTAGCCGATATCTTTATGTCCACCTTGGAACATGGCCCACTCAGAACGCATATTATTGAGACCGAAAATCATGTACGTTATGTTTATGACACTTTCGTACTTTGCAAATCTGAAAAGCATGCGGCGCAGTTACTGAAAGCTTTTAACGACGCTCATGCGAATCCCCACTTTACTTGCGAACATGAGTTTGGAAACCGACTTCCTTTTCTGGATGTCAACCTTATCCGCAACTCTGACGGATCCATCCGCAGAAAGGTGCACAGAAAGTATACTTGGACTGGGCAGTACACGAACTCCTACAGCGCAATGCCGTTACAGTAAAAGAGAAGTTTGGTCCGATCTCTCGCTTTCAGGGCGCACAGTATTTGCAAGCTGGATACCGTCAATGAAGAATTGCAGCGAATCAGCGACGCCCTGAGATAAAATAGCTATCCAGACAAATTGCGAAACATCTGGAGGAACATGAACGCAAGTTCTTAAAAATGAGCTATTCATGCACTTGCCATTTAAGTGCGATTCTGCTGCTGATACTCTATCCCGACGCTTGTAAGATGCTGTTGAGAAGACTTGTTTCGCGGCCCGATTGAGGACTGGTAACTACAGTCCAACCTATCTATGACGACCAGCCAAAAACATCCCCAGGGATAGGAGAGAGCCACACCGAAACCCTCCATCCCCAACTTTTCTTTCTGTGAGTGATGTCCCTATGCATGAACCTGTCCATGGCGACCACCTGGTCAAAGCGACCACTTTTTCAGTTCATTGGGTGGTCGCCTTAGACAGGTTTGACTGGATAAAAAGCCATTGCTTGTAAAAATTTGTAGGATGGACTGCCCTCGTGGATCCGTTCAGTGCTCGTTTATCACTACTCGTGCTCTTGTGGTGCATGATACATGGGTCGCCCTACGAGTCGCCTATTTTAGAGGATTCGCGAGCACGTCCCGGCCTGGTTCCACAAAGGCGAGATGATATCTTTAAACAACTCTATTATGTAACCCCACCTTGATTTCGGCCACCCAGCCTCTGGGGATGACTTCAAAGTCGTATACTTTTTACCTGAACGCTTCACGCAAGACTTCCGCAAGCAGCTCCTGTTCATTGTCGAGATTATCTACATCCGCCATTTGAAGCCCGAATTATGTATGCAAAGGCCTTGCATCCGTTTGTTACTATTACCTTGGCGAACGCACAATGTTACCTAACTGTTTGCTTATCATTACATTGCGGTGTCAAGCTTTTGTGTGATATTTTTTTCTTTTGCCTACCATCTATAGCGTAGCTATGAGCTATCGATTTGACTACTCGAACAACTCAGTAATTAGTATCACAGCCCAGTTTGACACTAACAGCATCTAATCTTTGCCTTGTAAACATTTGGGTTCGACACGAGTTTACACGAAAATATTCTTAACCCATCACTCATTTGGTCCTTATTTTCTCACTGAAATAGGAATGTTTATTTTGCTAAAGATCAGCAATGCTTTTGACTCGTTGAAATAAACGGTTTATTCCTCCACGGTGTGAGGCACAGTCCATTTGAGTGGTACTGCGGCACCGCATGGAACTTATTATTTTTCAGGTTTTCTTGGTCAGTTCCCAAGCCAATTTTGTGGGGATTTCTAATTTGCTTGTTTTAGAAAGTTGCCAATAGTAATAAATGCAGATAAATTCAAACGTTCAGATGAAGCAATACGGTCATCCATGGAACTGTCTCCCGGGAACTTGCCTCCATGCTGTGTGATACATATAAATTTTTCACCCGCACTTCCATTGCCCATCTGGCCATGTGTCGGTAAAGCCTTAAAGCAAGTAAACTCCCAACTATTTAATTCATCATCATAACTGTTTTTATGTGCATGTATTATAGACACTCGAGCCGTCTAGCCCGTATCATCAATTGGTTTTTTATTCCATCACTTTTGTTACACGCCAGTGAGCCCATGACAATATGCTTTGCATGGGTGTACCTATTAACTTGGAAGCTTCAATCTATCACTTCAAAAATACAACCCAGTCTTGGCTAACAATGAAATAAAGAATATAAAATGCGAGGAGGTAGAAGAGCAATAAAAGTACTAATACTAAATAAACGGCATATTTTGTTACAGCGCCAGAAAGGTCGACGGCTTTTCCGATTAAATTGTATGGAGTATCTACACACAGTCCAGTTCTGAAAATTTTGATGTTCACCCATCAGTTGCATGTTACACCCAAGCGAAATCAGGACACTGGTAC